ATTGAGCTGCAGCGAGACATTGCGGGTCTTGATAATATCGTTCAGTCTGGAAGGGTAATTACAGTGTCAGTGGTCGTTCTCTTTGCAGTGATTAATTTGCATTTGCATTTATAGCGTTTTGTTCGTGAAGGATGTTTGCTAAAGCTTTCCAAAAAAGGTTTTCAGCAGCGGCTGTTTTTTCTGGCAAGTTTACATTTTTAAGATGAATCTTAAAAATCAAGTAAAAATGTTAATGTACTTTTTAGTTTTCTGACATTTTAATATATGCAAGCCGTTCAACGTCTGTCAACTCTCAATTTAAAATTCATGGTTACTTTTCACTGTACAACATTTATGTGGAGGAAACTGAGTCGAAATGCGATACCGAAAACTGCTTTACCATATACGCGGGGGACAACAAAATTATCCTATTGGCGGCAATGTGAGAATGCTATTTTTATTTTTAAAAATGGAAACGATCTATATTTGCTAACATTTTCAGGTCAGAAAATGATCGCCAAGCTTGGATTCATGACATACGAGAAGCAGTCAGTGCTATATCGCTGAAACCTAATCTTGCTCAGACTGCATTGGTTACCAACGATCTGCTAGAAAAAATTGACAGTGCACTAAATGAACACTGGAAACCACAGAGCTCACTGGGCAATAGCCTTGAGTTTGACCAGTTGGAGACTAATTTGCAATTACGAACAAACACCATTGTTAATGTGTGCTGGCAGAGAGCGGCCAGCATTAGCTTTGACAGCTACAAATACGCACTTACCATTTCCTTTAGTGGATACCTGCTGAGGAAGTTTAAAAACTGTAGCGGCTGGCAAAAGCTTTGGGTTGAGTTTTCCCATTTTTGCATGTTTTTCTACAAAAACTCTGAAGTAAGTAGTGCGCATCTTGATCATAACATAATTTTGCAATCTAACCATTTTTACCCCTGCCAAACAGGATGACTATCCTCTTGCCAGTCTTCCGGTGCTTGACTATACCGTTTCACTTCCGGTAGATGCTGACAACATGAGCAAAAACTTTGTCTTTAAACTGCAGTTTAAGGCTCATGTTTATTTTTTCCGCGCCGAAAGCGAATATAGTTTTTTGAAATGGCAAGAAGTGTTGGCCAACACCAGTGGACCGCGCTCGAGCTAACATTGAATTGATGTCACCAGGACAGGCCCTGCCGTGTACTGTGCTGGTAGGCTGCATCAGGAAAAGAGTAGCGCTACTACTTTTGCTCTGACAGCCCGGCGCAAACTTGAACATACTCACACAAATAAATGGAATAAATTGTCAGGCAACCGCCCTGCCCCTCTCCTTTTCCTCTTTTCCCCACTCCCACTATTATCATCTGACGCTGATATTGCATCGCATTGCTATTTACCACTTGCAACACCTCCTCCTGCTCGTTATCCGCGATTAGCCAAGAATAGCTCGCAAGAACTGGGGAGTCAACAACAACAACCACCACCACCAAAAAGTAACCCAGAGAATTGGGGAGTGGGGCTCGTCGAGTCTCACTCAGGCTGCTTAGTAAATTGCCATTTTTGAGAAGGCAGCGCACACGAGGTATTTATGGGCTGCAGTAGTAATATATGAGCAGCGCGGCGCGGAATATTATTGCGCACTGGAGGGGACTGAGAGCAGCGGCAGGAGCAGCTCCCTCAGCGCTCACTCTTTGGATGTCACTTATTTGGCACATGGTCAGCTCGAAGTGGCAGGCACCGAAATTAGCCTGCAGAGACACGCTGGTTTTCGCTATTCTCGAGGCACCACAGTGAGACTGCTTCGCAGTGAGGCTCGTCGTGGTCGGGGTGCCATCGCAACCGCTACTCGAGTGTTCTCTCGGTGCTGCACCAAGACGACTACTGCTCGCCTCTCTGTACTCTCTGTTCACTCGCCAGACCGAGACTCGGCGAAGCGACGCTCTCGATTTCTCTCGGTTGCAATTGCTGCTTGTCATCATAACAGCCGCATAGAGCGCTCGTCAGTGTCTCCCAGTGCTCGGCGCACCGAGTATGTCTCTGCAAGTGTGGTTGTGCAATTAACTAATGACCTCTCTTCGTCAGTGCTGGTGAATATGCGGATGCTCACTCCGCCGGCGGCAGCAGCAGCAGGACGAATAGTCAAAGTGATCACAGCCCACTTGCCCACACCATGTGTCGCCTGATGAGACTGATGTGGCCCGTGATGATGCCTTCCACCAGCACTACCACCACCACCAACAGCAGCAGCAGCACCACTACCAGCATTGCCTTTCTCTCTCTCTCCCACTGAACGTGCATTTACATTCATAAATGTCAACATTTTCCTTACTACGAAGTGCGATAATAAACTGTGAATACAAAGAGTGATTCAAGTCGCCTAACCTGGCGAAGCTCACTGCAGCAGCAATAGTCAAGTGCCTTCAGTCGGCTGATTACCGATGTGCTGCCCCTAGTCGCCGATCAGCCTATCTCCAGTCTAGTCTCTTATCAAGTCAGTCGCCGTCCAGTCACCGCCCACCACTGCAACCAGTCTTCCCCATAGGTATGTCTTCGGCAGTCCGTCGGTGCTATGCTGCGAAACAGACAAACTGCAATCAGGCTGATGCCGCCGCTGGCCGCTGCAGCTCTAGCTAACGGTACTTTGGCAAATGACAATCACAATCACTTCAATTGATATTCGTAGTTTACTTTTCACTTTACTTTTACTCTTCCTTATTTATTGTTGTTTTCCTGCATACTCATTGTAGGAGAAGAGTGAACGAGAAGTCCACTGAAGTTTTAGTTTGTTGACTACAAAATTGGCACATTTCAGGGAAAGTGCACTGCTGAGTTGGCTGAACCAGGCAAACTTTTTTAGTCGATTGTGTGCACTTAGCAAAATTGGAATGTTCTCTTATTGATCGAAGTGCGGTGTCTGCAATTGTCATCTTTCTCGTCAATGGATGGCTGGTCGGAGACCAGTGTCGCTTGTCGCGCAGTCGTATTCATTCGAGGTGACATTTCATTTTTGCTGTAGTTGCATTCACTAGCACACATTCAATATTGTCTTTGGCATTGTGTTCTGCCGCTGATCTAGGGTCTACTACTGCATTCCTCTCTGCCGTCATTTGTCGACCAGGTTGTTTGCCCATTGTTAAGTTGAAGTTGAAGCATATTTAAGGCAAATGTTCAGTCGTTGCAGCCGCTTCTGTGCAGTCGTCATTTCAGTGCACTCGTCATCAGAGCAGAGAGGCAGCACATTTCATTTAATTTTCTCCTGCATGCCATCTAATTGACACTTGCCTATTACTGATATCAGTTGCCAATGGTGATGCCCACTTTGGCGCATCATTACTACTTAGCACTACATCAGTGGAAACTTTTGTTAGCGCATCTCTATTCAATTCTGGGCGCTATTCAAAAAACTGCGAAATGCTGCGATTCTTTAGAAATCGAACCCCGTTAGCTGCCGTAGCCAGCTTTAATCGTGTTTTCCGTTGTCTGACTGGTAAGCATAACCATTAGGTGTTAGTACTCACTCAATGATCAGCAGCAGCAGCAACTGCAGCCCTTATCTGCAATACCATTTCTCACCTGCAAGTAAGGAAGGTGTAATCGTCATTGCCGCCGTACCTGTGTACTGTCTCAGCTAGCGACCGGTTCACCTTATCATGGGCAATTAATGTCCGCCCAGAAGTGCTGTGCGTCCAATTGGCAGTGTCAATAGACACCTTGTTGTCATAGAGTCGCAATCTATCTGTTCGATTAACTCAATTCTAGCCGTGTGTGCTCTACAGTGCCCACCAATTCAGTGCTTCTGCTGACTCTGAACAGCACAGATCTCTCCCGGTGCAGTTTGCATGTGCTTGCACCGCCAAGAATCGTAGTTTGTGTTCCTCGGTGGCACCGTCAGTAGCCTTCCTCGCCACAATCCTCATCCGCCAGCAGTGTGTGTTCCCTGCTTTTGGTGTGTTCATGTTTACGTTATATCGCATTGTTTACCCTGTCCTCGACTGTGGCCAATCGGCCAAAGCCATGTCCGTGATTTGCCTTGCCAGCTGCCGCTGCAAACTGACTCGCTTAGAGAGCACGCCACAACACGCCACTACGCCCATGCTTCAGTGCCTCAACTTTCCTTCTTTGTTTTCTCGAGTTTGCCATCAGTAGTAGCCAACACGTTCACTGACTTCTAATGACAGCTTCCTCTGCGATTGCCCTTCAGAATCGCTGGCCCACTTGAGCTCGCACAGTCCCTTTCTTCTGCTGTGCACTTTTTGAGCACTTGTTACCTCACATGCTCTCATTTGCCCACTTCAGTCCCGCCAGAAACTAGCCCCAGTGTGCAGAATGGAGCAGTGTGCTTCCCTTTGAGCCATTCCCGATTGCAGTCAAGTAACCCATCTGTTTCCTTTTCCGCCAGCAGCATCGTGTCCCATCAGCAGCAGCAGCATCAGCAGCAGCAGCAGCATCAGCGGCGGCGGCATCAGCAGTCGCCTCAGCATCAGCTCACCTCGCCTCGCAGCCAATCGGGAATCAATTTGTCTGCATTAGCGGCAGTGTTGCATCTCTGCATCCAACGCATGGGTAGTTGAGATTTGAATGGTTACACTAGAGGCAGTGCCGTGCTCACACCCAAGAATCACAAGTGCAGACGAAGGAGCGTAGAAAGTGGGAGAGAGGAGGCCTCAGCTTGGAGCGCAGAGCAACCAGCGCCAGTCCGCCAGTTCGCCAGTTCGCCAGTTCGCCAGTTCACCCGCGCACACACACATTCACTCACTCACTCATTCACCCAACTCCTCAAAGAGGATCGCTCAGAGACTGTGCCCCGTATGATGATAACAAACTTCCTCCTATTCCTGCCTTGCTTCCAATTCGATTCTTAACTCATCGCTCTTTGGCGCGCGCTTTCATTCTCCAGCAGCCTGGTGCCCTCCTCGCCCGCCACTACCGCATCACTCTCTTCGCTCTGCTCTTGCTTTTGCAAACTGTCTCCCTCAGCCTCTCCTCTTCCTCTCCTGTGCATTGTTGTCAATCTCATCTGTTGATATCATGGCAATTGTTAATCCCCTGCTTAATGTTAAGGACTCTCGCTGGCTTCAGCTTGAAGTCTGTCGCGAGTTTCAACGCAACAAATGCACTCGCCCCGATGCAGAGTGCAAGTTTGCCCACCCGGCAGCTAATGTCGAAGTCCAGAATGGCCGCGTTATTGCTTGCTACGACTCCATCAAGGTATTTCGTTTTTCTTTCTCCTCTTTTCCACTTTTCAATCTTTCACCCCCTCTCCTGCACCTGCTTTCACTTTCTTTTGCTTGTGAACTTTGCACCACCAGCCCAAGCAAACAATAGTTGCTTGTACGCTAATGACCAGCTGCTTTTAGTGTGGTTAATGTTTCGACTACATCTTACTAATTTCTCTTTTGCTGTTACCTTTGTAGGGGCGATGCAATCGCGAAAAGCCGCCATGTAAATACTTTCATCCACCGAAGCATTTAAAAGATCAGCTGATAATCAACGGAAAGAACCACTTGGCCTTAAAAAATGCCTTACTGCAGCAAGTGCCATTTCAGACTGTACTTACTAGTCAACTGCCCATGGTAAGTACCATGAACCTACTTTTACCCAGTGGTGTTGAGCAAATTGCCTCCAAGAGTCGGTTGCTTTAACTTTGATTTTTGAATCTATATCGACTTCATTTATATTTGTTTAACTAAATTTAAATTTTATGAGCGCAACTTGCAGCCACATTAGCACTTTTAGCTGCCTTTGCCGTCGTTGAACACTGCCAATGTACACAGTTGAGAAAGTTAGTCTGACAGTAAAGTGCATCGGTTTGACGGGGGCTGCTGCCAAGCAAACTTTGTACTGGCACTTTAACATTCGTGCCTTTGTACAGTGGCTAGCGACACTGGCTGTGACTAGAAGGACTCTAATGTTGCAAACATAGCAATGTGCCTAACCTAATGGCAAGCGTCATTTGGTTTGCTGCCCGGACTGACATGAGAAAACGGCAGCAGCAGCAAAGCAGAGCAGCCTGACAAGTGCAGTCGGAAAAGAAAGTAAAAATACCCAAAAACCGAAAATACCGAAAATTAATTACCACTACCTCTTGCCAATAAGTTCGCTTTTTGCCACTCCATTTACCCGTCGATTGCGTAGTGGTCTGTCACCGCGCCAATGTGCCATCCATCTTGCTTTTGTGGGCCATCGCAAGTGCGACGCCGACGAGTTGTCTTACTTCTTCGACAGGAGAAAGAGAGGCTAGGCGTGCCTCGCCAATGTCAGCTTCAGGCACCAGGCGCACCAGTGCAACACTGCCTGCACAGCAAGCCTGACACACACACTTCCCCTTTGCTTAGCTTCTTTCCTTTTGTGAAGCTTTATTTTTAAGAATTTACCGCCGCTACTCTGCTAATGAGCACTGCTATTTGCTCCAGTTCTATTTAGTCTCTTAACCCTTAACCCCACTGAACAGGAGAGCCCGCTTTTACTGGGAATTCATTGTAGCTGATGAAGGGTTGGGCGTGATGCCTTTTTCTGTTTTCCTCCGCTTGAGCTTCCTTCGACCAGCTTCCACTCCTTATTCTCTTCTACTTCTTCCTTTGCTGGCTAACTTGACTTGTTTTTGTTAATTTTGTTTGCTAACCTTATGCTAACCCGGTTCTTTGCAATGTTGGTGACAGTTGGTCGTAACAAACAAACTGCCCGCAGTAACGCTTTCGCTTGTAACTGCTTATAACGTAATCCAAATAATTGCATGCACAGGTTGGATCAGTTGCTAACTTGTTGAATACCTACCCAAGAAACTTGTCTCCTTCCACGATGGTTAACCCGCAACCCTACGCATCTGTGGCCGCTTATGCATCCGCTTTGAATGGTCAATCTAAGGCACTGATCACTAACAGCCCGGTGGCCAAGGTAAGAAGGCGCCTCCCAGTTAGTCAATCGTCAGCTCTCTTTCTTTTAGAAATCGGTCTTTGAGTGTTAGGTCTGCAGGGTACTCAGTCGACATAATAATCACCCGTTTTCCTCTCTTTCTCTCTATCAACTTAGGCACCGAATCCTTATCTGACAAACTTGCCTGCACTCGCTGCTGCTTCATCTGCTGCCGCCGCCGCAGCTTATGGTGCTTACTCGGCGCCGTCACCTGCGGCCATGCTGATGAACGCCGAGCAACTGTCCTCCTCGTACGGACTCACATCTACCTCATCCACTGCGCCCTGCTCAGTGAGCAGTCCTGGCACCAACCCCAACAAGAGTCGCCTGGAGACGGTAGTCACTGGCAGTGCCACTGGCATCGAGGTAATCACTGTCCTCTCGCCCTCACCACGCACTGCAATGTCCCTAGTCCCAATCGCTGCCTAGTGGAGCACTGGCCCCACCATCATTGCTTAGTGTGCTTTGTAGTGCGATTAAGCGAGTGCCAATTACTGCATGTCTGCCCTGCTGCCGTCAATTGCACTGCCTAATTAGCGTAGCGCATCGCCTTCCACTTGACACTGTGGCTATAAATAGGGCAGTCAATTCAGTGGCTCGGTCGGCAGATGTACCGAACTCTTTCAGCAAGTGTGTCACCAATGGTGCGGTAGAGGCACTCGTGCTCACGCATACGGCTCACTTCAGTTCGGCAGGCATCACTCGCCCGCGCCAGTGCCATTGAAATTGACTCCTCTCTTTTGCCTTTCTTTGCTGACGACACGGCCCTCAGATTGGCAGTGTCTCTTCCACTTCCGCTTCCCCAGTGCCCTTTCACCTGTCTGCACCCTGCCTGTCTGTGTACTGCCAAGCTCTCCAATCTAACTGACTATTCTTTTTATTTTTTATTTTTTGTTTCTTCCACTGCCACCTATTCCCCGGGCCACACTATGTGCTGCTGCATCTGCCAAACTGTGTAACTCTTTCTGGATCTGCAACCGCCGTTTCGCTTGGCAATCCATTTCATTTCGCTGTGTGGGTCGGCCCTGTTGTTGTTGATGGCACTGTGACGGCACCGCTCACAAACACACAAACACACCACACCACAATTAACCCGCCGATCCTCACGGACCGACCTAACTTGATCTAAAATCGATACATGCAGCCTCACGTTATAGCTGAAGCTTCATCTCTCAATGCTGTAGCTACTGCCGCCGCCGCCGCCGCTGCCGCCGCTGCAGGACGCAAGAGAACTCGTGAACAGACCAGTGACGAACTCTTAATGGTACTTTTGGGTTGCTTGCCTCTATTTCTCTATTTCTCTCTCTCTCTCTCTCTCTCTCCACTCTACTCTACTCTACTTTCTCTTTCTTTTCAATTCAGCACCGTTTAGCATGAATTAGCATTGATCTGCTTAGGACATTAGTTGCTTCCACTATTGAACTGTAGCCAGTCAGTCAGCCAGCCAGCCAGCTAGTTGAGCTAAGCAACCGCACTGGGAATGGTAGCACTGCTGCTTTGGCCTTGTCGTCTCCATAGACACGCGCCTGTTTATGTTGAACATGTCTAGCTGCTACAATCGACTCATTCAACTGATACACAACTTGATTAGGAAAATCAAATTTAGGCTGATAGAGACGCTGATTGATCTCTGACAGCGCTCGCTGACGTCTGTGCGTCTGTTTGCTGATTGAACTCCAACTTGGGACAGGGAGGAGGGACACTCGCCACAGTTCCGCTCTATTCGTCTGCACAATGATTTATTATTGTCCTCGCAACTATCACTGTGCTGTGCTGTTGTTGCTGCTGTTGCATTTTGGGAAAATTCAGAAAGAAAACAGTGAGAATAGAGTAGAGTAGAGTGATTCGATGTGAACTTGGGGGATGGGCTGTTGACCGCCTGTGTTCGCCACTAATGCAATGCTCTCTCCTTCTCAGCAAATATCGGGCGCCTACCCGATGAACAAGCGGACAGCAGTAGACAAGAACGGCACCCCTCTGTACCCCGGCGCTGCCCCAGTCACCGGGCCCACCTATCCGCAGCCACTCGCCGTCCACCAGCCTTTTGTGCCCCTCTCTTGTGAGTACTTTTGAAAAAACCCACTTCCTCTTGTCAACCCTTGCTTCCTCTCTTTTCAGTTTACTTTCCCTTGGTCGGCCAGTCAAATACCATCCCACGGTACTGAAAGCCAACTCGGACAGAGCAAGAAGGGCGAATTCAAGCGGAACTTTGCATTTTCAACCGTACGGTATTACCCCCCAGTGGCTGCAACTCAACAAGTATTCTCTGCAATATTGATCGGCCAACTACAGTGGTGCTTCCATCCTCGGCCATCCATTCTCGGTGTTGATTGCAGTGACGGCAATAGCATCAATCATCCTACTATGTTTTTCTCCCCTTTCTCACTCTTTCACTCTCTCTCAATCTGTCTTGTTCCTGTATCGAATTCTCTGTGATACCCAGTCTATCGATGTCGCCGAACACAAGCCTACCCCACACCTGACTGATGCTGGCCACGGAGAATGTCTGTGCCAGGCAGCCATCTGTCTCGTCTAGTCTAGCCCTTTTACTACTTGCCTTTTACTTCTCCTTCGTGAGCACACTCTGTTCTACTGTACTGTTCTCCCATTGGCCTGCTCTCCCCAGCTCTCCCCATCCACCTGCTGCATTTTCATTCTCTGAGTCTGATACGGTGCATTTCAAATGACTTTTCCCTTCCCTTACTCCCTCTCTGCCATCACAATCCTACCCAGTCACTCTCTGCCCTTTCTAGTCGGCCTTGAAGGCTTCTGCAGCACTGAAGTGGCAGCGCAACCGAGTCAGCGTTGATGAGCAACCTAATAGTTGACTATCACCACTACCACTACTACTACTTTCATTTTCACTAGGTCAAAGTACCTTACCCCCTCGCCTAATCTGACCTCAGTGCCGGCCGCAGTTGCTGGCGCTTGTTATCTTGTGGCCTTTTCTCTCTGATCGCAGTTCCTGCAGTTTGCAGCTACACAGATTCACCACTCTAATCCGTCTCAAAAGGTGCTTTACTGACTGTTGTCTTGTTCACCTCCAAGTGTCTTCAAACCCCTTTTCTACTCTCGCATTTTCAAGGTCGATAAAGGTGTGCGAGTTTCGATTTGCCGGTGAGCGCCTCATCCGCACCTTCAATTAGCCAAGTTTCATTTTTGTTCACTCATTTCACATACACACTTTTACTCGATTGAAATGAAGCATGCAACTGTTTTGCCATTTATTACGTGTTTATTTTTTGATAACACACATTCTATTCAACCAATAAAACTTTTCTCAGTACAAGCATCGCCGATGCAAAATGCAGTGCACACGCAAATCAATTCCCCATTGATGCTCATCTGCCAGCAGCCAATCCTCTGCCCGACTTTGCTGCTCTACTCCCTGTCACCACACTCTGACAGACGTCGATCGTGTGGGTCTGGGATTTTTGTGGAAATGCTCAGACTGTGCTGTCGATTAGATTGCAGTCCTTCGGTTCGTTGTCACACACACACACACTCCTACCAGTGCAGCTGGAAAAGGGGCACAGTAGTGATAAGCGACAATCAGGATCATAAAAAAGTGGTTGCTGGTTTGCAAGGAGTACTGCCAAATGAGCTGTGTCTACGTCAGAGCACGGAACTTTTTGGTTGGTGACTTTCACCGATGATGCCCATGGCATGCATGGCTAGGAATATTGGCGTGTCATATACTCTCTCAAAAGCGTACCGAGCCAGCAGACTGCCACCGGCCGGTGCACCGCTCGCAGACGCCTTCTCTCTGTCCAAGCACTGCATCGCTGGCAGTGGTTCAGCCCACAGTGTAGCACCACTTTGCAGTACTCACTAATTCGAATGTGTGTATCCGGTACAGCGACAGCAGCAGAAGCTGCCCGTACACCAGCTAACTGCAGTTTAGCAGCAGCAGCTGCGACATTGCCATTGCTGTGGCGCCCAGTGCTGAGACGGCGCAGTTCGACTGACTGTTCAATCGGCCGTACACTGTCGAGACTGGCGCCCTTTCGACCGCTGCCAAGCTCTGCTCTGTGCTCGACTCGGTGCGCTCGAATATTGCAGAGTCAGACTGCAGCTGCAGCAGCAGCATCAGCGCACAAGCATTGCCTGGCGTGCTTATTTAAGCTTGCAAGCCGACGTGCTGCTCCATTCTCTGGCTGGTCACACCACAGTCTGCACTACGGCTGTCTCTTTCTGTGCTCCTCTGCTCTGTGTGCCTCTGTGAACTGCATTCCTGCTGATCACTCGAACGTTCGCGTCCTCGCGGTCAGCACTCATCCACTCAGCGACCACCTTCAGTCCGCGGACCTAGTACCACCAAGAGAACCACCGAACCATGGCCAACAAGTCCGACAAGTACAGCGAGAAGACCAATGGAGGCCAAAGCTTTGGCCAGTTCATCTGGAACCCCTCGACCAAAGAGTTCCTCGGCCGTACAGGAGGCTCGTGGTGTAAGTAGCACATCGACTGTCTCTTCACTCAATGTCATCCTGCCGATCTTGTCGCTCGATGCACTTTCTCTGCTTTTGTCTGATGATGCTCCAGGCCAGAGCAGCCTAGCTCTGGACCGGCAGATTCTTTGACAGATGGAAAGTGCGCAGCAGTCAGTTTCAGCTCGATCACCCGTCCAAGGTCGAGCGTCGCTAATTGACAATTTATGTCTTTTGATGCAAGACCGGCACCGTCATCGTCGCGACATGATGACATAGACTTTGATTTACGATGACGGTACTAATGACTTTTATTATTTTGCTTTATTGCCACAGTTAAGATCACTGTCTTCTACATAATCTTTTACCTCTGCCTTGCCGCCTTTTGGGCGCTCATGTTGCTGATCTTTTATCAGACTTTGGATGAGCGCGTACCAAAGTTCCAGCTCAGTGATAGTCGCATCGGCGCTAATCCAGGTACAGATTTGCTGCCATTTCTGAAATCGGGGGCGTCTTTTCTCATCAGTCAGCGTTTTCTTTAGGACTTGGCTTTCGTCCTCGACCACGCGACGAGAACATTGACAGTACCCTGATCTGGTTCAAGAACGGAAAGGAGTCGTCCGAGTGGGGCTACTGGTCGAAGAGTCTGGAGGACTTCTTGCGTCGTAAGTGCGCCTTTCTAGACTGCAGCCTGCACCTGAATCATTTGTTTACACACTATTTTTGACCTACTTAACAGCCTACTCACAGAGCAACTTGGATGCTGGCTCGCACGTTGAGCAGTGCGCTGGAAACAAGGCTCCCGAGGCAGGAAAGTTCTGCTACTTTGACATCAAACTGATCGACAACAACTGCACTGTCGAGAGGAACTTTGGCTATGACCGCGGCCAGCCTTGCGTTCTGATCAAGCTCAACAGAGTATGTTCTCAAACGGCGGTAATTGTTTGGCATTGTCAGTAATTGTCCATCTTTTGCACTGTAGATCTTCAATTGGAAGCCCGAGCCATACAACTCGGAAGATCTGCTGGACAAGAACATTCCCGAGGTGGTCAAGAAGGGCTACGGTGAAGGCAAGAACGAAGTCGTGTACATTACTTGCGAAGGCGAGGTAAGTGAAACTGAGCAGACAGGAGTGCACTGTGTTTGCCAGCCAATTACGATGCTTACCAATGTTGCATTTGCAGAACGCCGCTGACAAGGAAAATATTGGCCACATTTCGTACTACCCGCAGCAGGGAATCGACTTTAAATACTTTCCCTTCACCAACCAACCTGGCTACCTCTCACCCTTCGTCTTTGTGCACTTCAGCAGACCGCAGTCCGGAGTGCTGATCAATGTGGAGTGCAAGGCCTGGGCCCGCAACATCAAGCACAACCGCATGGATCGCGAAGGAAGCGTCCACTTTGAGATTCTCATGGACGGCTTCTAAATGATTCCATTGCGACTACTGTGCTTGCGATTACAATCGCATCTGTTATGACATCTCGATTTTATTCATAGGGACAAAAAGTATGCTTTTTCTTTTCCTTTCACTACTTCCATTAGGCCCACCCTCAGCTAGTTCATACTACCTAGAAGCATAATTATTTGTTTTTCAGTCATTCATCTACTAGGTTCACCTACCTAAAATGCTGCATTTTTATTATGTATGTGAATTAAAACACATTCTCTCTCTCTCTCCGCAATTCCCCTTATAAACCCGGTTATTTTGTATTTGGTGCACATATAAAATGTAGAACTGTATATAAGCAATCCGCAATAAAGGATCAACATATTGAACTGTTCATTAAATTGTACTTTGTATAAATTCTTTTTATTCGAGTCAAAGTTAAGCTGATGCAAATCACAACAAAGTTCGAGTTTTTTTATTTTGATTTGAAGAGGATCGATAAAAGTTTGTTGGCGAACCACACCACAAAGGAGAAGAAGGGAATCTTGTAACCTCTACTGAAGAGTGACTGGTTAATTGTATGAATTAAAAGATGTCATTTAGCAAGTACATACTCGTGGTTAGCTCGGTGATTCGTCTCGTTTGCACTGAGAATAAAGAGTGGGAAAAGGAAAGAGAAGAAAGCAGTGCTCAGGTAGTAATTGGGCAAGAAGTGAGTGAATAGAGCAAGTGGCAGACCAAAGCCAAAAAAGTATGGCCAATTCAGCTCAATGTAATCCAACCTTCGAGGCAGTTCTCGGCCTACAAACAGAAAGGGCGTTCAGAGTGATAAAGTGCAGCTTTTAGAAACCTTGCCAACGTACCCATGTTGAACCATTTGTATTCGAAGGAGTATAATGAGTATAACAAACTAAGGTGTAGAATGTTCATCAGTTGACCCAACGATTGAATCGGGAAAAAGCAAAAGAGATTGGCCTAAATTGAAGAAAAGTTAGAGATTTTTATAATGAGAAATTTTTAGGTTACCAACCTGAACAAGAAACAGTAATTGAATTAAAAAACTAAAAAGGTTATCAGCAATAAACTGAGATGTGCTTCTAAATGGTTGAGGCCGCCCCCTGAACGAGGATTCTGCAATGTCCTGAATACAGAAAAACCATTTTATTGAGTGCTGAATAACTTGGTGAAAAACAAACTTGAAACCAGAGTGCCGTCACGATTCGACTGAGTAAGATCAAGGGTAGCACCCAGAATGCAGAGAAAAGATAGGTCAAAAGGTTTTCCAGCCAGTACCACGTCGAGCCAATATCGTTGGAGCCAAACATTTTGTTGATGGCCCAATAGAGGCCATTAAGTATCAGGTTAAATAAAAGCATGGAAATCTAAATAATGACAAAATTGATCAGGTTGGCATGAAAAAGTTTAAGTTATTCTTGCATACCATCAAGAAGCCACTAAGGTAGCAGCATTGACGAATTCGTTTGAGCACTTGCGTGGACTGAGGATTATTTTTCTGTCTTACTACAGTAGATATCACACAGGCTCCAATACTAATAGAATCAAAGAGGCCATCTTTGATGCCATAAATTATCAACTGAATAAAAAGAAGGGCAGAATATTAATTACATCGATGATAAACAAACGGTGTTCACGTGAGAGCAGTTGATGCGTAGTACCCAACAAATGGAAACTTACTTTGAGCTGTTCCATCCCAAAAGGCTAGCGTGAGGTGTGTGATTAGATGAACATGTCAAAGTGTTCGCTGGGCAGTTTGGCCCGTGGCAGGTCACCCGATGTTGGGTGAAGAACTTGATGAGGAACTCGGTCAGAACTCACTTGCACCCGTTACACTCTTTCTCATTGAGGCAAGCTACAGCTGTGCAAAACACACAACAGAGGAAACTTTCTCACCAAAACATTTGTTTGTGTCGGTTAGAGCGCCACTGTAGACGAAACACATACGATGTGTTTTTGTCAACTCTAGCCTACTTGTATTTTCATAACTTTTAAATTCGATTTAACTAGATTACAGCTTGTTTTATTTACTGTTTATAGTCAGTTTGTCATTGCAAAACGATGCTCTCCAAACTAGTGAAATGGAGTGGGTCATATGTTTCTCGCAGGCTCACCAAGCTACCAGTTGCTCGATTAAGCAACCAGCCGCAGATCTCCACTTTGAAACCTCAACAGTTGCTAAAGCCATTTGCCTTTACGATAGCAGTGAGTATAACAGTTTGAAATTGTTGTCCAGAACTTAACCAGAATGTATTCAGTTTTGCGGCTCTTCCTTTGCAGTGGCCACCGTCTGGGAGTATGAAAACCGGAAGATTGATGTCAACAAATACAACATGCTACCTACCGGCGTGTTTCGGGCAAACAAAAATAAATCACAACAAGGTGATCAGCTGTTTCCGATGGTAAACCTTTTCATTTTCAAAATTCTATGATCATGCTGATTTTATATTTTAGGCAAAACAGTGGTGGGATTCCCAAACCGATGGCTTTAAAGTTTTTTTGAGTATTGCTTTTCTAAATGGTCTAGTCTTTTTGGGGTGGCGAGTTCCTCGGCTCTATCCATTTATGAACAAATATTTCATTTCAAGCATAGAATCAAGTAAAAAGTCAGATTTATGTTTTGAACTTGTATTTGACTGTTTTCCAACTTACAGAATCCATTCGAGTATTGCCAATGGTGCTTTCCAACTTTAGTCATTACTCTCCATTCCACATTGGACTGAACATGATGGTGCTTTACTCTTTCTCTGACCTCGGAGTTCATCTTTTCGGAAAGGAAAACTTTATGGCACTTTACTTAAGTTCAGGTTTGTCAGAATATAAACTTGGCGAACAGCATCTTACTCATTTTGTGACAGGTGTTGTATCGGCATTCGCAAGCTACGCTTACAAAGTGGCGACACATTCTCTGGCCCCATCACTTGGAGCAGTATGTCTCAAGTTCAAACATAGTTCTTCAAATGATTACTCGTTTTATTCATTCTAGTCTGGTGCAATACTTGGAATACTCGCCTCAGCTTGCATTGAGCGTCCCGACATAAAACTGATGATCATTTTTCTACCATTCTTTACATTTTCATCTGCCACTGCCCTCAAAGGACTAATTCTCTTGGACTCATTAGGTCTAGTCCTTAGATGGGGATTTTTCGATCATGCAGCTCATCTTGGCGGAACGCTTTTTGGAGTGTAAGTTTCTGGCACTCATTTGAACTTATTAGTCTATTTAAAACCTTTATTTCTCTAAGATTTTACTCGTTTGAACTCAAGGAGTACATGAGCAAACATCGAGCTACAGTAATCAACCACTGGAATGATTTAAAGCAAAAATTTTAAAAGCATCATACAACTTGTGAGTACTTGGAGTTCCAGTCGCGCTCAAAGATTGATTCGAGCTGATCATGAAGATTGGTTTCATTTCTTGCTGTTGTGCTCAGGGCAATTCCAACACCACCCGTAGAAACAAAGTAGTCAGCCGACCAGTTTGATGTGCCAATGTAGGCCACTTTATCCGTTACCATGTATTTGTTGTGGTTGACCCTGGCAAAGGGAATCTCACGTTCTGCCGGCGTGAACGATGGCACATTAAAGAGGCGAGTTTCGATGGATCCCTTGAACACCTTTCCGTTGGAGAGGGCGGAAAGTGATTTGAGGAAGAGAGCCATCGAAGAGCGAGTGTGGTTCCAGTGACTGCCCAGAAGGCGCACGTGTACGCCCCTCTCCAGTGCGGCCCTCCTCAGCGCGTCATCAATGACTGGCCAAAAGGTGGTGGGGCGTTTGTAGAGAAAGAGGGGAAAGTAGTCCATGACGGCAATGTGGATGAATCGCTGGGCAGTGTTGATGATGTGGAGGATGGCGTCAATGTCATTGCTTCGACCGGCAGGACACAGCTCTCCGGGAGATGAACTAATGAAGACGCTGTACGGCTGACCGTTGATGGTCGTCTGCTGCGGGTGTGTCACATTGTACTTGGCCGAGTACTCTTTAGGCCACGGCTTGGGCACCACCACCTCCGTTCCACCGAGGTACCAGTAAACCTCGAAAGTGTTTGCCAGATCGGCCGCCAGTGAGGGACAGTTCTGGGCGAGGATGCCCATCTCCTTGACGTGGGTCAGCGAGCGCCAGTCCATGTTTGCGCTGCCAACGTAGAAACTGCGGTTGTCCACCAGGATGAACTTGGTGTGGAGAATGCCGGCGCCCACCAGACGCGTAAAGTTGACCCTTTTAAGCTGTGCCACTTGTTGCAGCGCGCTCAGGTCCTCATTGTGGACACTGTTCTGCTTGTCATCGTTAACGGCAATGCGGAGCTTGATCGACTTGTTCTTGGCCACACTCACCAGTGCATTGAGAATGTCTTCCCCTTTGCGGCTCTCAGGCACTGGTTTGGGCATCACATCCTTGCCAAGGAGGGTCCAGTAGAAGGAGGCAATGTCGATTGATTCAGTGGCCGAGTTGATCAGCGCCAAAAGTTCGTCATGGGTATCTTTTGAGATGACCGTTTCATTGTACGTCAAGTGCTGCGGAATAGTTTCCACCAAAGTAGATTTGCATTCTTCGTTATGACTTGCTGCCTTTGAGCTGGTCACAATAAAAGCCAAACCGATGAGGAGAGCCGATTTGCAGATCATTTTGCAAATAACACTTTTAGAGTGGCTCATCACAGTGAAATGACTCCACTTAAGAATGAATGAAATGGCAAAAACAAATATCAACTAAGTTTATCAGCTTTAATCGATTCGAAGATAAAAGCAGTCAGTCAGAGTAGTAGTGTTTGTCTAAAAACCGCCTCAAGCCTCTTTTGGGGGCTACTTTTTAGTGATAAGCTTGCATGATTAGTGGCTGTACGCAACTGCAAGTACAGAAAATTACGACTAAAACAATATCGACAGCCAGCCGAAAATAAAACAGAGTCCGCCAATCGGAGTGTAACGGACAACTTCGGTTGATCCGGAAATTGCGTTGCAGTAACAAGTGCCAGAGAAAATCAAAATTCCAAGTGTGAAAAGAGTGCCGACTAAGTTTGGTCTCTTGAGCATGGGCACTGTCAACAGGGCAATTGAGTGATAAAAGTGGTACCTGTTAAAAGAAAACACATTATTCAGTTTTTATTTGAAGTTTAGCTTAGAAAACTCACTTGTTTGCCGTATCAAATACTGCTCTCTTGTCCGGAGCGCTCAGCTTTAAACCTAGCAAAAAAACCAGTTAAAAACGTGAAAACCGCTAATCAATTTGTTACCGTGAGCTCCGTAAGCACCTGTAATTAAAGAGCAAGTAATTAATTAATCATGTCAAAGCTTCAATTTACTGAAAAGTACCTAGACAGACGGCTACAGCTCCAGAGAGAGCAGCGAGTTTAATCCAATGTGAAGAACCGATTTTGGCAGTCAGCATGGCGGCTGCATCTATTTTGGGCTTTGCCACGGCAGTCTTGCCCGTTTGAGGCACCATCTGATAGAAAGCCTCTTTCGTGGAGTTGTAAAAATTACTAAACATTTTGAAGTTTTTGGTACGCCACCGTTTGACGCATCAAAACAAATCACAAAAAAATGAGGGCCATTCAAAAAGTAGTTACAAGCAAGCAAAAGCCAATCAGAAGCGTTGAATGTGCCGAACGGTGCTAGGGTAGGGGCAAAGGCCACTGTGTAACGGCCGCAGCTTTTGCACAGTCAAAGTTACGCACTGTTTTCACACGTTCGTAGCGTTGGCTGTGCAAAAACTGTGGTGTTGCCACTTCTCAAGTTCTGAGTCTTCCGCAAAGTCAGGGTCTCTGAAGCACATGCTTGCCAGTTGGTGTGACATTCGCGCTGTGAAACGGTTGTTGCCAATTTCATTCTGACTTTGCCGAGCTGACATCATGCCTCCCCGAAGAAGTACTCGAGTTTCCAGCAAGTACTTTCCGCCAAAAGACTCGGAATCGGAAGAAGATGACAAAGAGGAATCGGATTATGATCCATCGGATGATAGTGACGTGAATGAAGCTTGGAGTGGCGCCAAAACGACTCGCAAACGTAAATCCACCGATATGGGAGGAAAGAAGGCTAACGCTAAAAAGCCAAACCCACCTAAAAAGCCAAAGCCAGCTAAAAAGACAAACCCAACTAAAAGCTCTGCCAAGGAAAGCCGAAAAAAAGGAAAAGCTGTACCAGTCAACGAGGACCTTGAACTTGATCGAAATAATAACAAAGATGGTTCGATGGACGATGATGACAGTGACGATGATGACACCGCAGACTGGGAAGAGGTCAAGGACGCTGAAGTTTTTGACATTGACTCGTACCAGCCAGAGTTGCCGAACAACTTGAAGATAACAGTTGAAAAGCCAAAAAAGCAAAAGAACCAAGGTGATTGGGTGGAACGCCTTATACGCCAAGAAATAAACCGAATTCGAAAAAATGTTCAATTTTCCGTGCACAAAAGTCATCTGTTGCTGCTCATGGGCCGTCTTCGCTACCTAAACTCGCTGGCGAATGACCCGATCATTCGAGGTCTGGCTCTTTCAATCATTCCGAAGAAATTTAAACTCTCCAAAGAGCCAGTTGACAAAAGTGTCGAAAAGTTATTCAATTTCGTCAACAAAGAGTTTGAGCTGAACATTAATCTTGAACGTGAAACTGATCGTTTTCCTTACCTTAGCATTATTTCTAGTTTTACCTCAAAAACTATTACTTCTCAAATTGTGTTCGCCCTCGTGATGGTCGCCGTTTGTCGTATACTTCGTTTACCTTCTCGCCTTTGTTATTTCCTAAATCCAGTACCGGTTAAAGCTTCTAATTTGATCACTAAAAAGACCAAGCTAAAGAAGGTCAACACTGGCTCAGCATCAAGCGGCACCTCCTCTGTTTTTTCTGTTGATTATGATTCTGATAATGAAGACCGCGATTCATCTCAAGATTGGAAGTACAATTACCACTGGATGGAAGTTTTTGACAAAAGCAAAAAACAGTGGGTTGCTTTTAATTTTAAGAACGATGAAATTCAAAATGAGCCTTATGAAATTTCTTCTAATCTTGGCCTTGAGACTACCTATGTTCTGGCGATTGACGAGGAAAATTTCATCAGTGACCTGACTCCGAAATATGCTGTTGATTGGGTGTCACATGCCTTCAAAAAACGCAGGTTGGAGGACGACTGGTGGGAAAAGACACTGAAACTGTTTCAACGTCCCAAATCCTCAATGTACGACGACGCAGACAAGAAAGAGTTTGACAAAATATTGTCAAAAGCGCCATTGCCAAAGACACTTAGCGGCTTCAAGAATCATCCATTGTTTGTACTTCAGCGCGATATACTCAAATTTCAGGCCATCTATCCACCTGACGCCCCGACACTTGGTTTCTTTAACGAAATGCCAGTTTTTTCACGCGACTGTGTTCACCTTCTCAAATCTCGCGAAACTTGGCTTCGTTCTGCTCGAACAGTGAAAGTTGGAGAGGATCCTTACAAAGTGGTCGACTCTCGCTTCAAAAACGACGATAAGCGCGGCAGAAAGGCTAAGCTTGATTTGTTTGGGGAATGGCAAACTCAGGTAACTGACTCAGCTTTTATTATTTTTATCGTAAACTTGATTACCCTTTTCTTTTCTTAGCAATACGAGCCGCCAGTTGCGAAAGACGGCATCGTTCCTAGAAATGCCTACGGAAACGTCGAACTGTTTCAGGAATGTATGCTACCTTATGGTACAGTGTACTTGAAGCAACAGGGACTGCCGCGTTTAGCTGCCAAACTGAAAATCGACTATGCGCCTGCTGTTACTGGCTTTGATTGCGTCAAAAATCACCGAATCACGCGTCCCATAATCGAAGGAGTGGTAGTCTGTGAAGAGTACAAAGACATCCTGCTTGATGCATGGAACGAAAAGCAGGAGATTGATCGTCAGAAGAAGGCAGCAGATCGCAAGAAGCGCATCTACAGTAATTGGAAGCGACTCATCAAAGGACTCTTAATTCGTCGAAATCTCAAAATTAAGTACGGTTAACCTGTTGAAGACGAATAATTTTTCTGAATAATTTTTCTTTCATTTTTCTAATTATTCATATCAAACATATAAAGGACAAACAACTTTTGACCAAATTTTCACCCCTTTTTCTCGATTGACGTCATCGCCGTCATTGGGAATTGCTTTGGCTAGAAGGGAGACTTGTGAGTGCCTGTTTGCCGGATGTTGATTGAGTGCACGGCTGACTGTCAAAAGCTCAGACGCTTGCTTGGCATTCTTTCCCAGACAGCTATTGGGCCGACAGGGAATGTTTGCCTTGTCTGGCGCCATTACGCCCGGGAGGATCAGTTGCCGAGGAGCTGGCGAATGTACTGCTAACGACCATTCCAGACAGGACCCAGACATCCCCTGATTATGAATTGCCATTCTCTCTAAGAGCATTCCATCTGGCCTGGCTGATAAGCCCGGGAATTGGTAAATTAAAAAGGCAACCGTCAGGACTGTCGTACACGGCCTGGAGCCGCTATGCAAACAAGCGCTGATTCCCAATGTTTGCTTTGATGACAGCCCAAAGTAATTGCTTTCCCCTGTCTCAACAGAGCAAATATTTGAGCGGCTGTTGGCTGAAAGTATTATCCCTTGTACGAAAAGCGCTCCCGTATGCCCGAAGGAGGTCCGACCATCTTGACAGATTCCATTAACTGAAAGTGGTGGCAGACAGCCCGGAGAGTCTTGTTTATTCAGTAGAAAGTGCGTGCCTGATGCAATGCGATGCAACCCGTCGCTCTAGGCCTTCTGCTGCACAAACTCATCTTCTGAATAATCTTCCACCCCGACACGAACACACACTGACACTCACACGAACACATCAGACGCCACCAAAGACCCAGACACACACACGCTGATGCACGCTGACATTTCCAAAGAGAGTTCACCCCTAATACGTGCGTCAGAGACGATAGGCCTATCTTTCCCCTTAGTAAAGGCACCATATAGCACTTTTGAAAGCACTGATACAGGCAGCAATGTAACTTCACGTTTTTCCATCAGGGTATATAAAGGCGCCGACGACCTCTTAACAAATCGGCCAGGCTCGGACTTGTTTTACGTACGACGGCAAAGGATCACTGAAGAAGCCCCTCAACAAGCTGTTAAGTTGGCTGCGAGGGAACCGACGCATCTTCCT